AACAGGCATGAAGATTCCTTATCTACTTGTTTCCAACATCCTCAAGGAGTTTGCCTTTGAAACTTACAGAGGGTAGCAATTTCCCCTGCACACTAACTGGCTCATTATCGTTGCTAATTGGGCAGAGCAGCACAAATAATCCAAATGACAAAACATTCAGAAAAAGTGCACACGTTGCACAAAACACCTCCCTTTTCTCTGATCCCTATGGGAGCTCATTTTAGAATAGGAGGTGAGAGGGGCTTAGGGCCAGGGAAACAAAGTTTGTATGTAAATAAGCCAGGCCCCCTTTCACAGAAGAGTTTAAGGGGCTGGTTGGTCTGACCAAGTGTACAGGATCCCTGCTCTCTGACACCACAAAGTATCTATTACAGGACAACTTCCTCTGGCGCCAGGCGGCATTTAGTTTTCACTTGATGTTCAATAGGGGATGAGGCTCTGCTGGGAAGGGGGTCGAGGGTCGAGAGCTGCTAACATGAGGGTGACTCCGAGCAGGGTTCACAATTGTGCGAGGGGGTAGGACAAAGATGAGTCCCTAGGAGAGAGAACGAAGACAACAATGTAATAACTGACCTTGTACAATGTGCTGCACTTTCCAGGGAAGCTTACACACGGGTTTGCAGTTTCCCTCACCGGCACCTGGTTGGTGGGCTATACACAGAGAAAGAGCTCCAAGGCAGCCAGCAAGTGTCCCAAGGCCACTGAGGTGATAGGCAGAGATCTCCTAATGTCCACAGCAGAAGGGCCTCTTTCCAGTACATGCCACATGGCAGGATGGCATCTTCTCCTAGGTTAACTCCACAGTAAAATTGAAGGCTTGGGACAATATACTGGAGACCAGAGCTGTGTGCTACGTTTCAAGGGATGTTTTGGAAATGTAGTATTTTCACACTTTCAAAGTACTGCCATTAAAAATCAACAGTAAAAGAAAAACTTCTTAGTCAGAGACTCTTAGCTTCTGCCTAAGAATGGAAGGCTGTCCCAAAGGGTTTTTAAAAAATAAGACTGCTGTCAGACCCATGAACCACAGTCCAGACCAACTTGTCCTTCAGGATCCTCCAAATAAGTGAAGTCCAGAGATTCTGCAGACAAACCTCCAGAGGCCAAGCCATCACCATGTGTTTCCTCCTGAGAGCTGGGCTGGCTGCTTAACTCTGCTAATGGAGAATTCAAAGTCGTCTGCAGGAATTTGTTGGTTGTTGTTCAGTAGCTAAGTCCTGTCCTACTCTGCGACCCAATGGACTGTAGCCTGCCAGGCTCCTCTGTCCATGGGATTATCTAGGCAAGAATACTGGAGTGGATTGCCATTCTCTCCTCCAGGGGAAATCTTCCCAACCCAGGGATGGAATCTGCCTCTCCTGCTTGGCAGGCGGATTCTTTACATTGGAACCATCTGGAAAGTCCATCTGTAGGAAACCCGCACCTTTCTAGTCCTAACCTGGAGTTTGTAGAAACCTTGGTTAGCACCCACACCTATCCCTTTTTAAAAAATCTATTCCAAAGTCACCTGCATTTTAGTTGTCAAGACAAATTACCGAGGACTTAATTTTTTTCTTCTGTTCTAAATGGCAGAGAAAATCAGGTCTCTGGGTCTGATCACATTCCCTATTTCTTTTCATTCTTAACTCCAGTTTTTCCACCTTCAGACTCCGCAAACCTGACCTGCCCAGGCCCAGCCTCTCTAAAGGCTAAGGTCTCACGGGACTCCACAGAGGCAAAAATCTAGCAGCAAATCTTGGATAAATAACCCGCGGAGGACCGACTGCCTTCGGCACAACAGAAGACTTCTCTCTCAGGCCCCACAGTTCCCACAGACACCTGACCACGTGGCCGCCAGGGTCAAAGTGATGAGAGTTCCTTTCCTTCCAGGTCAGGGACCGTGGGGACACCCCAGATGCACCCAATCAGCTCCCCGGCTTCGTGAGACAAAGAAACATGGCAACACTATGCTCCCCACGTGACTGTCCCGCCCCACCCTGTAACCGTATACCACATGACCTGTGCTCCACGTGACTGGCACGCCGCCAGACCCGGAACCTCCCATGCGTGGAGGTCGTACTTTGTATCCAGGGCTGTTTTGAAAACACTGAGGAACTGGGCATTCATAGCCCTGACATCCACTATCTGTGGGGTGGCCCAAACTACCTGGGAAACGTACACCTCCATGTAACTTGTCCCCGTGAGAAGCTCTGCGGAAATGCAAACCCACCGGAAGCGTTTCTCCCCGTGTTCTGGGGTTGGACCTATTAGATGGGGGTAGGGTACACGTGGAGCGGTGCAGGCGAGATGACAGGAATTAGTGAGAGCAGACGTGCTTAATGTGTGCTTCCCGCATTTCGGTGCTTTTTCCCACGAGAATGTGCCTTCCGAGTGGGCGGGAGTCGGGCTCACCAACACCTGCCACAGCAAACACTAGACACTCAATGCACAATTGCATCGTTAATCCCCGAATTATCCAACAGAAATATAATGCGAGCCACATCTGTAATTCCCAATGTCGAGTAGCCACATTATAAAAATATAAAGTCATGGAAAATTATTTTTTAATGATATACTTCCTTTAACCCAATTTATCAAAACATTCTCATTGTTTGACGTATATTTTTCAAATATTAGATATTTTACATCTTTTCTTCACACTGTCTTCAATATCTGGTGTGTATTTTACAATACTGGACATGACTAGCCACATTCCAAGTGCTCAGTAGCCTCATGTGGCTGGTAAGATCAGTAATATTTAGCCAGTGCTGGTCTAGACTCTTGTTTTGCTAGATCAAAGGAACAGGCAATTTGTTCATCCAACTGGACAACCCAGAACATCAGGAAAATCTGGGGAGATGCCACCAGGAAAGTCATATGGGAAATGCATTCCCACAACCATTTCTTAAGCACCTACTTTGTATATGCTTTGACTTGGTGTTCAAGAGTATAGCACAGTCCCTACTCTCCCTAAACTCTAAACCATTTGATCTGCCCGGCCTCAAACTTCTTCCCCCAGCACTTACTTTGGAGTGATGTGGCATTAAATGGGCTTGGTATGTACTCAGGGGGTGGAAGGGGTGGGTGTGTGGCATTAAATGGCCTTTTCTGTGGTTTGTGACCTCATTCTCTCTTTTTAGAAAACCAAAGTCTGCATTTTTTATATTTCAGCAAATTAAGCACCTTTAGTGTGTTACACTGTGCTGCTCCTCCACAATTTCATTTAACCCTTTCAGTAACTGATTTAGGAGTTTTATTTATATTTATTTATTTAGCAGTTTTCAAATAGGGGAAGGGAGGCTGGGAGAATTGTTGTGGCTTTATGGGGAGAAAACTTGGGGAAAGAAAGTTTCTAATGTAGTCCCATCAGTTTCCCTCAGTGAGGTCTTTTCTGAGGCCTAGGGGAAATGTCAGGTAATAGGACCATGCACTTGAACCACAGAAGCCTGCAGTTAAAGAGAAGAAAGCTCTGGTGCTGCCTGAAACCCAGAACAAGCCCTTGCTTACAAACCCTGGGTCAGTTCTGGACACTGACACTTATTAGATGTGTGATGTTGGGCATCACACAATTCATAGTAATAAAAATAACTAGCATTTATTGATTTTTTTTTCTCATGCATCAGGCTGTGGCCCAGGCAATTACTCACAGACTCCCACTTTCTTACAACAAGATAGATATTTCATATTACATATCAGTAATCTGGGCCTCAAAAAAAAATTGCCAAAGGTCATACAGTTAATAAGCAGGAGAGCTGGGATTATTAATGTCTTAACCATTATTAAATGTATTTAATGTTTGTTTGATAATGTAACTTTAACCCACCTCCCACTGCATACTTAAAAAGGACATCTTAAAAGAATTTCAAAATCATCAATATATACCATAGAAACCTGTATATTTGCGTTACAAATCTCAAAGGTTATTAGCATGAGCAAATAGGAATTGTTTTCAGTGTGCTTGTTTTTAAAATATAAAAGTAAAGTTTTCATTTTTTATTTTCAGTGTATGGGGACTTGCCAAAACAATTAAAACAATTGGTTTTTCAAAAGAGATATTATATTAGCACTGTTCAGCTCATGGGGTTTTTCTAATCATTGAGACAGAAGGAAAAGTAAAAGCATTTTGAAAGTGTAATATCAGATGTCATTACAAACCTGTTAAAGCAAACTGCAGTTATATACTAACAGGCAATGTATATGAAGATACATCTCTTAAACTTCATTAGGAGTCTGCAACTTGAAAAAAAGAGTGAAAGAATAAAAATATAATTACAAAGAAATGGAGGGAAAGGGAAGATGAAAACAAAATAAAGGGAAAATAGAGGAAATGGCTATATTTCTTGAAAGAGATCAGAGGGAGGAAGGAAAAAGAAGGCTGAGAAGAAAGGAAGAAAAGAAAGTAGGAAGGAAGGGGAAAGAAAAAACCAGGAAGAAGGAAAGAGCTAGTTTAAAGAGAGAAGAAAAACAAAACAAAACATGAATCGTTGGGGTCAGGCAGTTCCTTCAGGAAAAAGAAACTGGCCATGACCCACTTGGCGTTGAGGCTGGGTACAGTTTTTGTGACTGTTTAGAGAAAATCTAGCGGTCTCCCTGCCATTAATCTTTTCCAAAGAAAGACTTTGTTCTGCACCTGTATAAACAATCCCGATTTTTAAAACCTATATGCCTGCCTCTAATGTATGAGGCTCTGTATTTATACTGATAGCTTCAGGTCATCAATAGGCGATGCAAAAAGCTGCCCGAGATCTTCCCTTTCCATCTTTCTGCTCCCTTCCCCTGCCACCCTCCCTTCTCTCTCCTCTCCCCAACCGCCCCTCCCTAGCCTCCTCCTCCCGGCACCAAGAGTCAAGTTCAAGTGCAAGCAGCGGTCCAGGAAAGATTTCAAGCTCTGTCAAGTACTCCCCGAGTTTTCCCAGCACCGAGAACTGAGATCGAGGGTTTTACTCAACTGACCTCAGAGGAGACCGTCCCCCAGCTCTCGCCCCCCACCCACCGCCACCACCACCCCCTCCCCAGAATGGCAAAATATATCGGGAGAAAACCTCTGCAAACGGGGGCGAGCGGGAGGGGTCTGGCAAAACATCCCCACAGGGAGGCCTGGCCTGGGAGACGAAGGTGGAACGATGATGCCTGAGTGATGAAGTCAGCCCTGGCCAGCCACCTGTTGCGGCACTTCAGGCACCAAGCCCGGCGCATTTGTTCTGCTGGAGGAGTCGGCGGGGCGAGGCTGGCCTGCGGCTTCTGCCCGCACCGTCCCGGGTCGACTGCCCATCTGTCTCCTTCATCTTCTCTCAGCTTGGCTGTAGGCCTGGAGGGAAACGACAGGTAAACATCTAATTCGGGTGTGAAGACTCAGTTTCTCAGTGCAGAAGGGCGTAGCCAACCCAAACCCACTCACAGAATTTTAATTATTTTGCTGTTGTTTTAGTTTTAATTACTCGGGGTGGGGGGGGGGCACCGGACGCCTAATCCAGTGCCTGGCACACAGCAGGCTTTCAACAGCTCGCCATTGATGTCCACTCCCAAAATGAAGCAGCCATCCCCAGACCACGTATTGCCAAGGCTCTTCCAGTTAGGAAACAAGGAGACCGCAGTTACGCTTTGTCTCCTTTGAGGGGCATACTTCTAGGTGCTGTTTTATCGTGGTTTCTTGTTTGTTTTGTTTTACTTTGGATGGTTGTGCTGACTTTGCATGCTGAATCCAGGAGCGTGCTCTTCAACACACCATCGAAAATAGTCACCGATTCCCTAGACTGTAGCTCAGAGCGCTGGGGCAGGACCCTCTATCTTACCGCACTCTGGTGTTGAAAACAGAATTAATGCGTGGAACTACCCAGACAGCAGAAAACAGCAGACAGAGAGCATCCTGTGCTGCGCGACTGAAATACCGACGGGCCTGGGATTCTACACACGGAGTTTGAGTCCATATTCTGCTTACCAGCCTGTCGATATGGGGTCCTTTACTTAACATCCATCTCTGCGGCTTAGCTTCAAGTTCTGCAAAGTGGAGATAATAACATTTAAGTCACAGATGTTGGAAAATGAAAAGACCCCCTGTAGATGAAAGTGCTTTGTAAATCAAACGGCGACGTTAAAAGAAAAGAGGGGAGGAAAATGAGAGGTAATTCGCCCATTGTTCGCTGTTGCTTGTTTAGCTTTTACGCTTTTGTCGGGCCGGGCTTGAATAGGCAGTCATACATTATGAGTGATGAACCTGGAAAATACATTTCGGCTGAAAAGATGGGAAGGACGCAGAGGTCGCGATCCTGGGGTTTCCAAGTGTCCGGCAATCTTCGCCTCCGTTAAGATCAGTCGGGGGTGGAAGTGGGTACCTGGGTACGAAAAAGTTACCCTCCTTCACTCACCCCACGAGCACTCATCTCGCAGTGATGGGTCCCTCGGGCCCAGGGGTCCAGATCCCAGTTCAAGAGACTTCCCCTTCCCCGCCCCCACCGGCAGATTCTCGGCACTCTGAAAAGCGGTCCCCACCCCTTCCACGCCCCCGCCCCACCTCTTGCCCCCCTTTCCCACCCCCTCTTCTTTACCCGGGGTGGTTTGTTCCGAGGAGTACAGAATAAATAGTCCGGTCAAAAGGCGCTGCGCGCGGTAGTGAGCGCCGAGCCGGGGCCCAGGCGCCGACTTCTCGGCCACGCTCTCCCGGATCAGTCTCGGGGCTCCGCGGTTCTCGACTCCGGTCTCTCGTCTCCTGCGGAGTTCAGCCTGGCCCCCGCCTCCGCGAGGGAGCGGAAGGCGGAGGCCGCGAGACTGGCCTGGGGGAGGAAAGCTGGGGCGCGGGGGACGCAACGATGTCCACCGGCTCGGTGAGCGACCCCGAGGAGATGGAGCTGCGGGGACTGCAGCGAGGGTACCCGGTTCCCGTCTCCAAGAGGCCGTGCCTCCGCGGCGCCGAGCGCAGCTACGGGTCGCCCAGCGACAACTCTTCTGCGGAGGAGGATGACCCCGACGGCGAGGAGGAGCGCTGTGCGCTGGGCGCGGCGGGCGGCGCGGAAGGCTGCAAGAGGAAGCGGCCCCGGGTGGCTGGGGGCGGCGGCGGCGGCAAGAAGCCCCTCCCGCCCAAGGGTTCGGCGGCCGAGTGCAAGCAGTCACAGAGGAACGCGGCCAACGCCCGAGAGCGCGCCCGGATGCGCGTGCTGAGCAAAGCCTTCTCCAGACTCAAGACCAGCCTGCCTTGGGTGCCCCCAGACACCAAGCTTTCCAAGCTGGACACGCTCCGGCTGGCTTCCAGTTACATCGCGCACCTGCGGCAGCTGCTACAGGAGGACCGCTACGAGAACGGCTACGTGCACCCGGTGAACCTGGTAGGGGCGCCGCGCGCGAGGCCCGGGTCGGGGCGGTCGAGTGATGCCCTGCGCGCTTCCCGGCGCCCGGCAGAGTCTGGCCGCTGGGAAGAACCCGAAGTGGGGCGGGGGGAGGTCTGGTAGGGGTGGTGAGGAGGCCAGTTTGGTTTCTCCCAAATCACGGGAGGAGCCAGTCGTTTTCCTAGAAGAGGACCATCCACCCCTCTGTGTTTGCATCAGTCTGATCATTGTACGTGACGCTTTTGCCGGGTGATACTATCACTATGGCTAATATCCTGCTTCCGGGGTAAATCTAGGTTCCATTGGAGTCCGCTGTTCCTTTGCAGATAGGAAGAAAAACCTCCCTTCTTTTTTGCAGATAAGAGTCTGACAGGCTTAAATCAACCAGCCCTACTTTCTGAAAGGAGGGAGGGAAGACCGAGACCTTTTTTAAAGCCTTTGGGTTTTTTCAATTCTTGAATAGCAGAGGTTTCCCCAAACGGGATTTGTCTGGAAAGTCCCTTTCCGACCTGCCAACTCTCCGGGCTTGAGAAAGATCATATCCCAGTTCCTTCTTGGAGCGAATGGCTGATGGGTGTGTGTGTGTGTGTTTGGGGGAAGGGAACTAAGCCACAAAATCCCAAATTCATGCAAATTTCGCGAAGTCACCATGAGGACAGCGGGAACGGAAAACTCCCGTCTTACGTGATCAAAATCCAGTAAAATTAAAATCTGGTTTAGAGAGAAGACGCGAAAAATTCCCAGAATACTGACAAAATCGGAGCCATGCAAAGCCAGGGGTATCCCGGGGTTCCGTCTGGAGAGCGGTTTCGTTTTGAAACAATCGTTTCTTCGGTATCTGATGCTCTTTCTGGTTTTACAGACGTGGCCATTTGTGGTCTCAGGACGACCAGACTCTGACACCAAAGAAGTCTCCGCGGCCAACAGATTATGTGGGACCACCGCTTAGAGCGAACTCGAACTCTCTTGGGATTATTGGTTGAGCACACGGGTTTGGGGACTAGGGAGACAGCGTGAGAAGCCCTGAGAATGGGAAGAACGTTCCATTGGATTCTCCTAGACTCCCCCAGCCCGGGACCGTGAACTCGACAGGTGGCGGGCGTTAGGGGGCGGGGGGGTGGGTGGGTAAAGCCCGGGTGTCGGCAGTGCGCCTGGCATCGCCGGGCGCAGACGGCTCTGCTGCCGCGGGTCTGGGCGACGACACTGCACGCGGACCCAGATCAGGCCTCGGGCTTTAGCTGTATAGAATCCCCCCGCGGCGCAGTCTGAGCCCAGCGCGCAGCCGCCTAGGGGTTAGTTTCCACACGGAGCCAGATCTACCGTCTGATGGCCTGTACTGTCCAGGCCTCTCACGCTTAGACCATGGTCAGATCGCGCTCTGGACAACCGGCTTCAAAGAGGTCTCACGCCAGACCCTACATCGGGATGTGTTTTTAAGTTACAGAGAGGAGGGCGGCACACCTGGGCCAGAATTCAATCCCACAGGGCCGGGCCCGACGCACGATGTCCTGCCGGTTCGGGGAGAGGTGGAAGCGCGCTCGTAGAGACCCACCTGGCCTACGGTCGCGCTTCCGTCCCCCGAGGCGAGCATCTCCCCTTAACCAGGCTTAGGTGTGCCCCCTCCCCTTCTAAGGCTTGAGCCTCCCATCCGCCTCTCCCCATCGACCTGGCTCCCGTCTGCTTCGGCACCTCCCTCTGCTCCCTCCGCCCACACCTACTTGCAGGCCCCCTCCCCCGACTGTCCCCACCCGGCCTCCCCCTCGGGTGGCCCCCGCCTCCAACTCCAACTCCCGGCGCCCCCGTTCTTCCTCCGGGCCGGGTGGGGCGCGGAGGCTGTTTGGTACTAGTGACCCTGTTCCGGCGGAACGCGCTGCTGCCCCAGGCTGCACGACCACAGTAATTAGCAAATGTAAATAAATTTATTTTTTTATGAATAAAACGCATTGTGAAAACCGAGTGCCCTGAGGCGTCAAAACGTGGTCTTTTTGCCGGCGGCTAAGTTTGGTCTGGGGATTAATTTAAAGCTGCCCTTTTGGCTCTGGGTGGGAATTGGGTCATTGTTGGAGGCGGAGGGGTTGATCAGGTTTGGGTCGCTGCAATTTTAAGTATAACTCTTTTCTCTGATTCTGATTCCTCTTCGTAAGGCAAGGATTCTTGGAAGCCAGGGACTAGAGGTTTGTAAGGCCCTTAATAGTCTCTTGGGGTCAGGGCCACGTAGAAAGAAAGGTATTCACTCTTCAAAGCAATATAGGTGCACTTCTTTGTTGCGTGCGCACACACACACGAATTTCTCCAGACTAAAAGACACTACACACACACACACACACACGAATTTCTCCAGACTAAAAGACACTACACACACACACACACACACACACGAATTTCTCCAGACTAAAAGACACTACAGTGCTAACAATTGCAAGTAGTTCAAGAACACCCTACAGCCAACACATCCAGAGTGGGGATGCGTCTTGGGTCTAACTGGCACTGATTTGTATTTCAGGAGAGTTTTGGAGTTTTTTTGGATAATGTTAATATAGACTTTTGATCCAGCCACCTGCAATTTTCACAGGAAGTAATAACTGAGGAAACCCATCACAGGGTTTTTAAATGCAGGTCTTTTTACAGAGGAGCATTCTCTTTGTAGAACCTTTAAAAATTTAGAAAAGTGTGAAGGATGAAACTAAACAAATGCCCAATTTGGGGTGTGTCCATTATTTTATGAAATCGAAAGGCAGTTCACTTACCAGAGAGAGAAAATATAGCTGGAGTTTAGGAGGTGAGAGGGAAGTGAGGAGCATGGTTTCCTGTGTTGCACGAAAACAAACCCAGACTCTGGAGAACTGCTTTCTGGCAGGATTTTCTTGGGCTTTTCTTCATACACTGGTGGGGATCCAGCCCTCAGAACCCAGTCTTCAGGGGCAGAAGTTGGCAGGAGCTTTCGGTGGCATCAAGGATCTCTGATTAAAGGAGTACTTGGGAGTGACTAGTGATGGGAAACCTTAGCTTGGTGGTTAAAGGCACTTAGTGTGTGGGGTAGTTGCTCAGTTGTGTCTGACTCTTTGTGACCCCGTGGACTGTAGCCTGCCAGGCTCCTCTAACTGTGGGATTCACCAGGCAAGAATACTGAAGTGAGCTGCCATTCCCTTCTCCAAGGAACCTTCCCGACCCAGGAATTGAACCCAGGTCTCCTGCATTGGAAGCCGGTTCTTTAGCCACCAGGGAAGCCCACTTGGGCCAGTTCTGGGAACCCAGCTTCTTTGGAGTCAGGTGTCTGCTGGAAGCCAGCCCTGAGTCACGGTCTTTTACAAAGCTGCCAGCAAATGAGGTCCTTTTAAAGGAAAGGAGACGGTGTCGTATCTTATAATGTGAACCTGAAAATGTGCAGAAGCTAGCTTGGGATCCAAGCTCTGCCATACCCCCCACAGACTGGTGACTGTGCAACTCCCCTCAGCCTCACTATCCCCATCTACAAAATGGGGTAGTAACAGTGACTGCCTCAGAAGATGGCCATCAGGAATAAAAGTGACAGCAATATTTAAGCATCCTCTCTAAGGCAGTGAGCCATGTCCTAAAGGCTGATTGATGACTGAAGGAAACAGAAGGGGAGGCTTTGGCAAAGGGGAACATTTGGGGGGGGGGGGGCGCACTTTAAACAGGTGGTACCACTTTAAACAGGTGGGATATTTCAGGAATCCAGTCTTTCAGACTGGGTCCTGTTTTGAGATGCCTGGATTAAAACAGTGAGAGAAAAATGCCCCCCACCAGAGTAGAAACACAAAAAAGAAAAGAAAAAAACTATACTTGCAATGAATGTAAACAGGAAAAAGCAATTGAATAAACAAGGAAATACATTAGGGCACATTTTCATAAATAAAATATTTTAAATGTGTGTTACTATGATTATATACTTTCAGGACACTTCAGGGGCAAACCCACAGATTTTCTGCTCCTCCTCAGCCCCCCACCCCCAATAAGGGGGTGCTTTCACTGATTCACCTATCCAGAGTGTTGTTCTCTGCGAACTCATTTTTTTATTGTACTTGATAATCTAATAATTTATAGAGAAGAGAAAAAACTTTCTCGAGAATTTTTTGCTCCATGGTTTCTGTAAGAAGTTGAATGTCAAGAATTATGTAGTTAAAAAAAAAGAAGAAAGAGGCCAATTTCTAGTAAGTCCAAATGAATCAGTATAAATTGTTCAAACTTCTGGGCAAGGGTTGCTGCTGGGAGAGGCCTGGAGTACCTTAAACTGTCCTTTCTTGATCTGTGACTATGGTGATTACTTTGTGCTCTAAGGGGTAGAAAGACATCC